CCGAGAGAGGCTCCAGAGGGTCCCCAAGCACAGGCAGGACCCACCCAGGTCTGGGACTCCAGAGCACTCGGCCACTTCTAGTGCCAGGGCCCTCCTGTGGGTCCTGGAGACACAGGCCACCCTGGCAGGGCTCCTGCTAGCAACACACCTGCCATCCCCAAACACCCAACTCCAGGCCTGAGAGCCTGAGTCATGAGGCCTCTGCACACATCACTTCTTCAGGGGGCATGTGATTTTCCCAAACAACTGGATTTGAAAACACACTCTCTTTCATGTGACAAAGACAGAACACACATTTAGCCTCAGTGATGACATTTTGACACCGCCAACGGCAACCCCGACACCGCGCCTCCCTTCCTGGGGACTGCTCCTGTCCCAGGTCACAGCAAACAGGAGGAGACAGCATGTGACCACGGCTCCCTCGTCCCGCAGGTCATCATACGACAAACCTCCACTGACTGAAGCGCCTCCTTTGTGCCAGCGAGAGACGGCTTGAGAGGAGGCCGTCAACCGCGGCAGCTCGGGAAGTGCTGGGGGAACCCCACGGGCAGGGCTGTGCCTGCTGCTGTGGAAGGGGCGGACAGGCGTGGAGGCAGCCTGTGGGTGGGGACGGTGCCCCTCAGACACGGAGGCAAGAGTGGGCAAAGGCGAGCTGGGCAGCCCTGGCAGTGCTGAGGGGCTGGGGTGGGCTAAGAGCGGGTGTCCCCACACGGGGTAGGAGGAGAGTGTAGGCAGGTGACTTGATCAGATCTGCATTTACAAAAATCCCCCTGGTGTCCCTGGAGGAGGAAGGGTTGGGACAGAGGAGCCAGGGAGAAAGGAAGGCAGAGTCTAGACCGGGAGGGTGGAGAAGATTGGGGGACCCCCAGAGACCGCTCAGGGTTGGATCCCACCGGACCGTGGCCTGACAGTGGGAGTCAGAACCCGGGCCACTTGGGGATGCTGGAGATCGGGGCAAACGACAGAGAATCCCAGCCCAGGGAAGCTCCACTGTGAAGTTTTCAGAGCCAGCTTCGATACAGATGCTTCTTAGGCAAATGCCAGAGCAGCTCAGGCTGGAAGTAGAGCCCTGGGGGCGAGGCCCACAGCACAGAGGGCACCCCCATGCACTCCCAGATGCCACCAAGGGACCAACTGCAGCCCCCTGGGCAAGAGGCAGCCCTGTCCCAATGTAGGTCGGCGTTCGCTAGGACTCCAGGTTGAAGAGCTGGGGTTGCAGGCCTGGGCCCCATCCCGCCCTGGCCTGACTACCACACCCATCCTGGCCACAGGAACAGCCCCCGTCCCAGCAGCAGCTAACAAGGACCCGGCGTTCTGTGTGGCTGGACCTCAGTCACGGGGCAGCAGAACAGGGCATGGGCGTCAGCTGCCGCTCATCTCAGTTCTTCCCGTCTGGTCTGAGCAATCCCTCACCATTTCCTGGGAGTGGGGCCGGGAGTGAAGAGGAAGAGGAAACGAGGCCGGGCCCCATGGGTGGGGAACCCCAATGCCCGCAGCTAGGGACCACAGGAATGAGGTGCTCTGGTCCCTACGGGCTTCACGTGATAGGAAATGCACGCTCCTCTCAGCGGGCTCCCCTGGCAGGATCCAAAACACTCTCAACCTCCACAGAAGACCCTGGACCTTGCTAAGTGCTGCAGGGATATGGGGGAAACCTGCTGGTGGGCTGGGGAGACCGGCACGGCCCGCCCACTCCTGAGCACCAACCATACCTGCCAGGCAGGGGAGGGCAGCACAGGCATTCCAGCCCCAGGCGCAAGGTCCAGGGATGAGAGCTTCGCTGCCTGACACGGAAGCTCGGAGTGCCCGGAAACCCTGGGGCAGAGGCGGCAGCGGGCCAGGTGGGAATGGTAGGGACAGCGTGGGGTGGCTGAGAGAGCCTGGAAGCTGTCCGGACTGTTTGGAAAAACTCTCATGCCATGTTTTCCTCTGCTCTGACGCCAGCACAGCAATCAGCACAGGATTTGCGACCCAGAAAATGCAGGGGTTTCTCCCCGAGGCAAGCAATCCATTCTGCAGTGGGTGCCGGCGGGGCGTCCTCCAATTCAATCCCAACAAGGGAGACATCTACCTGGAGACAGCTCAGATCCCCGGCGGGGCGTCCTCCAATTCAATCCCAACAATGGAGACATCTACCTGGAGATAGGTCAGATCCCACAGGTCGGGAGCTCAGTCCCCAAGACGCCCACACCCTCAGACACCAGTCAGAAGTCCAGGCCTCCAGAACTTCTCAGCGACCAACTTCAAGTTGGGGTTCCCACAACCCGGCTTTGGGTTCAATGAACTTGCTGGAGCAGCTCACAGAACTCAGGGAAACACTTACATTCACTAGTTTATTATAAAGGTTGTTACAAAGGACACAGATGAAGGGGCCTTTAGAGTGAGGTATGGGAGAGGGACACGGTGCCACCCTCCAGGCACCCCCTCCTGCTCAGCTGTCCAGCAGCTCTCCAAGTCCTGTCCTCTAGGGTTGGCATGGAACCTTTGTTAAGTAGGCGTGATTGATTACCCCACTGGCAATCAACTTGACCTTCCACCCCTGGAGCTCCCCCTCCCTGCGGTTGGGGCTGGGGCTGAAAGTCCTAACCCGCTAATCCTGCCTTGGTCTTTCCAGTGACCAGCGCCACCCAGAAGCTATCAGTCAACACCAGTGCACAGAAAGAGCGCCACGGAGATCCTGAGGATTTCAGGAGTTGTATGTCACAAAACAAGGACAAAGACCAAATAGGTATTTCACAACATCACAGAGGTGCTGGGAGAGTAGGTGGAGGGAGGCTGGAGGAACACACTGGACGGGGCAGGGAATGGGGCCTAAAAGCAGACCTGGAGTGGGGTGTGGATGACAGGCATGAGGGGAGAGGTGGCCCCAGCATTCGGCCCCAGCATTCAGCCCCAGGGAGGGGATGACGCCTCCTCCGGCTGGGGGACCTTCCTCACAAGTCCAGGCCAAGTCTGATTTCTTCATGAGGGGCCCAGGCCTCCCACCTACCTGCTGGGAAAGGCCAGGGAACACCTAATCCTGTCCTCCAAGAATCTACTGGATGCCTCAGAGACACAAACAAATCCCAGGCAGAGTCCCAAAGTGCAGACACTCCTGCCATATAGCCCCGCCACCCTAGGCCTCAGCCCTGGAACAATGGAGCTGGCACAGTGGGCCACGATGGAAGAGAGCCACTGGACTCATCTGTGCAACCAGGTGTACCCATTCTCTCTGGAACCTTCTTCTGAGTGCCTCCTAGATGCCTGGCACTGAGCTAGAAAGAGCTGAGAGATAAATCAATCACCTGGCAGTGAGGTCGGAAAGCCGCTTTGTAGGCACGTGTAGAGGCAGAGAGGCCCCGGGGTGGTCACGTGCCCCGGAGAGCTGGAGGGGTTCCGGAAGCCCTTCTAGGAGGTGGTTACAGTGTGCTGGGGTTGGCAGGGCAGACTGCGGGTGGGGGGTGTGGGTGGGCGGCAGGGGGAGGACCTGCACTCAGCAGCAGGGAAATACAAGACTTGCTCCAAGTCACAAGGCCTGCACCCTACCCCATCCCAATAGTGACAGGGCACCACCAGAATACCAGGGTGGGGAGGCGAGATCAAGCTTTTATTCCAGAAAGATCTGTGGCATGGCAGCCTGGAGGGCATGTGCAAAGGCCACAGCCATCAGAAACATCCACTGGGGGTGGCGAGGTGGGGAGGGGAGGAGGGGAGGCTGAGAGGAGGATGACCACCAGGGGTCCGCTGCATGTGGGATGGGCACCCCCGGACCTCTCATGCAGAATGCCAGGGGTGGGAGATGCCTGCACAGGCACGTTTTGAGAATGCTCCTCTGGCGATCCCATTCCCCTGACCTGTGCCCCCACCGCCTGGTGAGACCCTCAGCTGTAGGACCATGTCTGACCGGGGCTGGATGGTGAAAGTGTCACTAACCACGGTGAGCACAGCCACCGGTCTTCACCCACATCTCCTTACCTTGTTATCTGCCTTTTACCCCCGGCACCTGCTTCCAACCTGCCTTCTTGCTCTGGAAATTTTCTAGAGCAAACACACCACTCCCAAGTCTTCATCCTCTCCCGAATGTACCCTTCCTCCTCTGGGCCGAGCAGCAGCCAGGCTCTTGCCATCACCACCCCACCTCCTCTCTCTCCGGCTCAGGGCCTTCCTCTCTGTGCTGCCCTCCCTGGAGGGCTAAGTTCGCAGTCCTGGCTGGAAGCTCCGTGGCCTCTAGAACTTGAAAAGCCTTTACATCTCTACCTTTTTATCCAGTCCCCGGGCATTCCAGAAAACCACTCTACCCACTCCAGAGGCGGCACATTCATAAACCCGCCCATACCCCGTCCTGGAGCCCTCAGTGCCCTCCTCCCACTCAGAGCTGCGACTGCCCCATCCACCAGCCGCTCTGGCTTTTCTCTCTTGCCAGCTCAGCCTGGACCGTCACGCCAAGCCCCAACTCCCGCCCGCCAACCCCACACTCCTGTCTCAGCCATATGCATAAACGGCACAAGGAAGTCAGCCTGAGGCACGAGAACAGCTGAGGGGAGAGGGAGAAGTCCTGCCGCCTGCTCAGCGGTTTCCAGTGGCCCAGCCCCCGGTGCCACCTGGCAGCCTTTGCGGCACACTTCACTGACACTGTCTCCTCTCCAGCTCACAGCCGCCCCGTCCCACCCACTCCACCCCAAGAAAGGGGGCTTGTCAGGCAGGAGCTTCCCAGCTCTCTGCATTCCCACCACAGACCAAGGCCCCCCTCAGTCCTGGCTCTCACCTTCTGGGGACCCTAGCTCCCCATCTCTCTCCAAGGCTCCCCAGTGCTGTGACACGGGCCCCAAACACAGCAAACCACAGCGCCGGGGGCTCCGCTCCAGCTCCACCTCTCCTCCGTTTTTCTTCTGAGCCGAGCTGCTGGCAAGAGCAGATGACACCCGGCTTCCGGCCCTCCCGCCGCTGGCCGCGCTGGCTGCCAGATCTCCCAGCTGCCTTGGGCCTCATCCCGCCTGCCTCCCTGCCAGGCATCTCCTCACCTCTCCACGGCTGCTCCTGCAGCTCCTGTGCCTGTCTCTCCAATGGAGCCCACCCTCTCCTGAGCCTAGAATCCTTCTTTGAGGTCCAGGCCCGTCCCTCCAGCTGCTTCCCAGCTGTTTCCGGGACGCTCACAACATTCACACTCCACGTGACTCCAGCGCAATTCGGCTCCCACTCCCAGCCTCCTGCCCGCTCAGGGCTTCACCCAGTCACCGTTCTCCACCCAAAACCCTCTCCTGGTGTCCCCCGCCCTTCAGGACCTGGCCCCTCCCTGCCCCTCGGACAACAGCTTCAGGAGCCCCGGCCACATAGTGCCAACTGCAGTCCCCACACTACTGTGGGAATGTCACTGTCCAGAGAGGCAGGACACACCTGTCCCCTTTCACTTTCTGCTCTCAGTACAATCGCCCCTTCTTCACAGGCCTCCATGGGACCTCCGGCGCAGGGCCGAGCCCTCACAGAGCTCCACACCTCCTGTCCACATCTGTCCTCACCCTCACCCAGCACACCCACCATCATGGTGCTGGCTTATCCACCCAGCCCTGCTACTGGACCATGACTTCTGCACCCAAGTGTCTCACACTATGTCCAGTGTATCCTGGGAAGGAGGGAACAGAGAAGAAAACAGGCAGAGACTCAGAGAAATCGCAAACCACTTGGGCCCAAGATAAATTTAATTTTGAAGGCCAAATAACAACAGGGAGCATTACTAGTCCACCCACCCTAGGTGTGACCTTTCCTGCAGGCATCTTCACATGACAGGAAGGTAGGGGTGCTTGCCTCAGCCTGAAGCAGAGCATAGGCATCTTCCAAATATCAATGGTGACCAACATGCCACAGTGGCTACCAAGTAGCTGCTGCCTGGGGAACTTGATAGTGGGCTCTTTACTGGAGGCACACAATGGAGGGCACGTGCCAGGTACAAAAGGGGTGTGACCATTAACGAGGCGTTAGTCACCGCACCACGGGCCAGCTGGTCTGCCTGCCTGTGCTGGTCGGCAGTGCAAACGTGCCTAACTGTGGCTCCTGAGCCTACTGCTCGGAGTCTGAGCAGAGGCAGGCTGAGCCTCAACCTTGGCCAGCCACTCAAGACAGTTCCCTGTTCCCTTTCATAGGCAGACATCTTTCTTTCCCCGGCCTGGTCTGGTCCACCCAAAGGCAGGGGCTGGAGCTGGCACAGGACTCTGGTAATTCAGGATCTTTACCATCTGAGCCCAAAGATTCTCCCCACAGCAGGTCTAGAAAAACACCCCCCAGGACCCAGGAGGCGAACCAGAGGAAGAGAGCGCAGCTGTCAGCAGCGCAGGATTTCGATTGGTCTGAGTTCCAAGCCTGTGACAGGTGTGCCTTGGAAGGCCAGGCTCACATCAGGTTCTCAGCAAGTGTCTTTAGACCTAAGGAGAGATCCAGCTCAGGGTGGAGTCATGCAGGTTTAATCATTTTATTTTTATTTACTTTTTAAGTCTGGTAGAGACAAAGTCTCACTATGCTGCCCAGACTGGTCTCAAACTCCTGGCCTCAAGCAATCTTCCCATCTTGGCCTCTCAAAGTGTTGGGATTACAGGTGTGAGCCACCACGCCTGGTCCTAATCATTTTAACAGGCATTCAAGGCACGCTTCCTGAATGCCAGTGTGCCAGGTACCTGAGTACAGAGGAGTACAGAGGCACGGCCCCACCCCAGCCCGGGTCAGGTGTACTGACGATGCCAATTCAAGGTGCAGGTGCTGCGACAGGGTGCTTTCCCAGAGCCAACGCCTGCCTCAGCTGGGTCGTACAGTGTGAGGAGGCCTTAGCCTCAGAAGTGATAGAGACAGCATGGTCAAAGGACAGGACCCCGGAGGGCAAGCCTGGTCAGAGCTACCCAGCTCCATAAGCGCGTGGGCCAGTGAGTGTCCTTTGGGGCTCTGATTAAGACAGTTCTACGGTTCAGCATAACAGGCACCAAGAAGCCACAGGGCCCAAAACAGAGGCCTGGGATTTACTAGGCTGCCAGGAAAGGGCAGTGCTCCTGAGTGCTGGGAACAGGGAGAGGACAGCCCAGGAAGCTGCCACGGCAGAAAAGTTAATGTCCACACCTCGATCCTTATAAGGCCACAGGTTTACCAAGGTAGGAAGGCCAGAAGGACCCTTGCCAGGAAAGGGATCACAGAGGATAATTAGGGAAGGGGTGGAAAGGATTCAAGGAAAGGCTGAAGGGATCCAGGTGATCAGCTCCATTTAGCATGCCACAGTGAGTGGAAAGGCTTTTACTGGAAACAGGATGGCCCACAAGCAAACAATCTCTCTCGGTGTGTGGCACCCAATTAAAACTGTGTAACAATCAGACGGACACACAGTTTCAGATTATGGGAAATCTGTATCCTCAGTAGATTCCCAGGTCCCCTGTGGTGTGTTCTTAATGACCTATAAGAAAAAGGGAACAGCCCGGTGTAGTGGCTCGTGCTTGTAATCCCAGCACTTTGGAAGGTTGAGACAAAAGGATCCCTTGAGCCAGGAGTTCGAGGCCAGTCTGGGCAACATAGTAAGATACTGTCTCTACAAAAAAATAAAAAATCAGGAAGGTGTGGTGGCATGCACCTGTAGTCCCACCTACTCAGAAGGCTGAGGTGGGAGCATGGCTTGAGCCCAGGAGGTTGAGGCTGCAATGAGCCATGACTGCACCACTGTACTCCAGCCTGGACAACAGAGCGAGACCCAGCCTCTTAAAAAAAACAATTAACGGGCCGGGCATGGTGGCTCACGCCTGTAATCCCAGCACTTTGGGAGGCCAAGGCAGGCAGTCACGAGGTCAGGAGATGGAGGCTATCCTGGCTAACACGGTGAAACCCCATCTCTACTAAAACCACAAAAAACTAGCCGGGCGTGGTGATGGGCGCCTGTAGTCCCAGCTACTTGGGATGCTGAGACAGGAGAATGGTGTGAGCCCAGGAGGCGGAGCTTCCAGTGAGCCGAGATCGCGCCACTGCACTCCAACCTGGGCGACAGAGCGAGACTCCATCTCAAACAAACAAACAAACAAACAAACAACAGCCAGGCAGGTATGCCTGTAATCTCAGCACTTTGGGAGGCCGAGGCAGGTGGATCACGAGGTCAGAAGTTCAAGAGCAGCCTGGCTAACACGGTGAAACCCCGTCTCTACTAAAAATACAAAATTAGCTGGGCGTGGTGGCGCATGCCTGTGATCCCAGCTACTAGAGAGGATAAGGCAGAAGAATCACTTGAACCCAGGAGACAGAGGTTGCGGTGAGCTGAGATCACACCACTGCACTCCAGCCTAAGCAACAAGAGCGAAACTCCATCTCAAAAAAAAAAAAAAAAAAAAAAAATTAACAAAGAGAGAAAAAAAGAAGAGAGCACACTGGGGAGGGTTGCAGGAAGCCATGGCTGCATAAGCACAGTCCTCAGAGGCTGTGAAGCCTGCGCCCCTGTGAGCAGATTCTGTTGGAGGGTGTAGATAACAGCTCACAACCTTATCCAGAGGCTCAGCCAGCCCTGGGGGCCACATGCCGGCCGCGAGCAGATACGGGCTGCTTCTGCAGCACACCCTTTCCCCAGCCTCACCCATTCGGCCCCTCAGGGTGGGGGAATGGGGGGGTGGGGGACGCACCACATGCGCGGCCTCTGTTCTTAGTAGATTTTTTCCAAAGTTGTGCCTGCTGCCAATGCTGATGGACCACACAGAAACAGGGTCCTGGAAGGAGAGTGAGGTGCCCCTGAGGGCTCTGCAGCCTTCAGTCTCTGGGTCTGAGAAGGCTTTTTCCAGAGCCCTACCTGTGGGAATGCTCCAAGAGGAGCAACCCTTGGACTGCAGGTGAACTAGGTCCTTTGAGAAGCGTGACACTGAAGCTGGAGGTTCCCCAAAAGGCAAATAGACACGTGAGACAGGAAGGCCACTCACTGTAAGGACACTGGCATCCCCCCGTCCCACACTCCATCCTTCACTCCAAGAGACACATTGGGTTTCTGCGACAAATTAAAAGCCCAGGCCAGGCACTGTGGCTCACGCCTGTAATCCCACCCTTTGGGAGGCCAAAGTGGAAGAACTGCTTGAGCCCAGGAATTTGAGACCAGCCTGGGCAACAAAGTGAGACCCTGTCTCTATAAAAAAATGCAAAAATTACTGGGTGTGGTGGTGTGCACCTGTAGTCCCAGCTACTCAGGAGACTAAGGTGGGAAGATTGCTTGAGTCCGAGAGGTCGAGGCTGCAGTGAGCCACGATCTCATTATCCTACCACTGTACTCTAGTCTGGCCAATGGGAGTGAGATCCTGTCTCAAAAAAAAAAAAGAAAAGAAAAGAAAAGAAAAAAGTCTATAGTCCCAGCTCTTTGGGAGGCTGAGGTAAGGGGATTTCTTGAGCCCAGAAGGTCAAGGCTACAGTGAGCCATTGATCCTGACACTGCACTCCAGCCTAGGAGAAAGAGTAAGACCCTGTCTCAAAAAGAAAGAAAGAAAGAAAGGAAAGAAAGGAAAGAAAGGAAAGAAAGAAAGAAAGAAAGAAAGAAAGAAAGAAAGAAAGAAAGAGAAAAGAAAAGAAAAGAAAAGAAAAGAAGAAAGAAAGAAAGAAAATTAAAGGCCGGGCGTGGTGGCTCAAGCCTGTAATCCCAGCACTTTGGGAGGCCGAGACGGGCGGATCACGAGGTCAGGAGATCGAGACCATCCTGGCTAACCCGGTGAAACCCCGTCTCTACTAAAAAATACAAAAAACTAGCCGGGCGAGGTGGCGGGCGCCTATAGTCCCAGCTACTGGGGAGGCTGAGGCAGGAGAATGGCGGGAACCCGGGAGGCGGAGCTTGCAGTGAGCTGAGATCCGGCCACTGCACTCCAGCCTGGGTGACAGAGCGAGACTCTGTTTCAAAAAAAAGAAAATTAAAAGCCCACTATTCTGCCCCATTCCCACAAAAGGCAACGGGTTACCGACTGGCCTTCTGTTACCTTATTGACTTTGTTTTAAGACTGTATTAGGAGTCCACAGGGTTCAGGGTTCTGTTTTGTTTTTCTCACTCTACGCATTCTCCTGGGAAGACCCAACCCAACCCCCAGCTTGGACAGCACACAGCATCCCCAAAATGCTCTCGTCTAGTACGCTCTCCTTGGCTCCAGGCCAAAACACATGTGCTTACTGCCCAGACGTCTCGCAGTAACCTCATCGCCTTCTGCACACGGTGCCAGCCTGCTCCCTCCCTCCACACTCTGCATGGGGTGTGGCACTGCCCGCCACTCAATCCTGGAACATCCTCTCCTTCCTCTCTGGCTCTTCCCATCCTGCAGCCACTTGTCTCAGAGTCTTGCTCTCTTTTTTCTTCTGAAACAGAGGTGAGCAGGCTGGAGTGCAGTGGCACAACCACAGCTCACTGCAGCCTGAGACTCCTGGGCTCAAGCGAGCCTCCTGCTTCGGCCTCCCAAAATGCTGGGCTTGCAGGTGTGAGCCCCCGGGCCCGGCTGAGTCTTGCTCCTTTCTGTGCTGATGTCTCTCTGGGTGTGCCATGACAGTCCCTCAACCGGCCTTGGCCCCTGTGCGGCCCTTCACCTCCCTGGCCACCTCTGATCAGGTCACTCACAAACCCAAGATCTTCAGAGGCTTCATGCCACTCTGGGTGAATTCAAACTCCCAGGTGGCAATCAAGGCTTTTCCCAGTCTGCTGTCGCCTAGCTCACTCACTTCACCCCATCTAACCCGGGACCACCACTGCCCTTCTCCCAAGAGCTGGTGGGCAGGCACCACGCCCGTCACTTTATATCCACTGTTCCTTTGGGGGAAGGCGCTTTCCCTCACTTGTTCTTGCCACTCCTGATCATCCTTCAAAATGAAGCTCAAGTCCGTCTCAGAGCCCCACCCCCACCACAATCCAGCTGGATGCCATGCCTTTGCGCCCACAGAAGGCTCTGTCCACCTCTGTTGGAGCTTCTACCTTGTGTTTATTCTCCTGTCTCCTCACTGCACTATAAGGTCAAGGGCAGAGATCAAGTCTTACTCAACACCGAATCCACAGAACGCACAGCATGGTGCCTCCTATGAAGTGTGAATTCAATAAATGCATTTTTGTTGTTTCGTTTTTCAGAGACAGGGTCTCACTCTGTCGCCCTGGCTTGAGTGCAGTGGCACAATCACAGCTCACTGCAGTCTTGAGCTCCCAGGCTCAAGTGATCCTTCTGCCTCATCTTCCCAAGTAGCTGGGACCACAGGCACATACCACCATACTTGGCTAATTTTTTATAGAGACGAGACCTCCCTATGTTGCCCAGGGTGGTCTCGAACTCCTGGGCTCATGCAATCCTTCCGCCTCAGCCTCCCAAAGTGTTGGGATTGCAGGCATGAGCCACTGCACCTAGCTTAATAAACGCATGTTGAAAGGATACAGAAAAATCATTGAATAATGAATTCAAGTTGGTCCTCAGTAAAAAGCCTGAGGTTGTGTTTCTTTGATTTTATCTCCAATTGACAGGCAATGTTTGAAATAGCCACTGCAATTGCTGCTTTGAGTTGAAAAGGACTTCTTGGCCAGGCGAGGTGGCTCAAGCCTATAATCCCAGCACTTTGGGAGGCCAAGATGGACGGATCATGAGGTCAGGAGATCGAGACCATCCTGGCTAACACGGTGAAACCCCGTCTCTACTAAAAAAAAAAAAAAATACAAAAAAAATTAGCCGGGCGAGGTGGCGGGCGCCTATAATCCCAGTTACTCGGTAGGCTGAGGCAGGAGAATGGTGTGAACCCGGGAGGCGGAGCTTGCAGTGAGCTGAGATCCTGCCACTGCACTCCAGCCTGGGCGACAGAGCAAGACTCCCTCTCAAAGAGAAAAAAATAAAAAGAAAAGGACTTCTTTCTTCCATTTACAGAGTTGTCATAACAGAAAAGGCATGCTCAGACAGGGAAAACATTCAACAAGGTAAATGTTAAGTGCTTTTTTTATAACCTGCTTCATCGTCCTTATGTACTTTAAACGAGAAACCATCTAAAGGCAAACATTTAATGTGTTTTCTGAGCTTGGCTCAATCTGCAGATAATTAAGAGCAACACTGCATGCCCAAGGTCACTCGAGCCTGCTGGACAATCCTGGCAGGTGTGGTCAGCGAGAGCTAGTAAGGCTACCCTGCAGGTGACTTTACAGACCCTGGGTGGCCAAATTTACTGTTGTTATGAAAACCCTGCCTAGATTACTTCTGCATCTCAGAAGGTCACCCTCAACCCAGTGGAAAGCAACTGCAATAGTTCACATCTATCATTCTGACAAAAGGACCTTGATCCACTTCAACCATCATGTAGAGAAAACCTCTGGCCCAGCCCTGGCCAGGCCAGGGGGAAGCAAAGATGAACAGTGTGGCTCCAGCCCTGTTCACAGGGAAAGACAGGCTTCTAAGTAGAGCAAGCACTCTCTAATTAGTACTCTATGTAAAGCCTTTATCTGAGTGCTCAGATTAGATGAGGATCAACCCTCAAAATAAAAGGCAGGGCACGCAGGGGTCATGCCACAGGCTAGGAACAGTAAC